AGACATCAAAAAAAAAAAACGATCTAAGGAATGGAGTAGACACCAAAGAAAGAAAAAAAGCTCCGAACTGGAGAGACACGAAAAAAAAAAATCTAAGAATTGAGGTATACAACAAAAAATATAAGAACTGGAGTAGACACCAAAAAACAAAAAATCTAAGAAATGCAGTAGGCACAAAAGAAATCTAAGAGCCGATTAGACACCAAAAAATATAAGAACTGGAATAGGCACTCCCTCTCCGCAAAAAAAAAAAAAACACAAACTTGGAACAGGATTAGACACACACAAAAAAACTAAAAATTGAGTAGATATATAAAAAAAGAAGCAAAACAAAAAAATGGACTGGAGTAGACACCAAAACTGCAGAAGACACGAAAAAAATCTAAGAACTGAGGTAGACACCGAAAATATAAAAACTGAAATAGACACTTAAAAAGGAACAAAAATCTAAGAACTGGAATAGATACCAAAAAGAAAACATCAAAGAACTGGAGTAGATGCCAAAAAACATGTAAAAACTGGAGAAGACACCAAAATAAACAAAAAAAAAAAAATCTAAGGACTGGAGTAGACACAAAAAAAATCGAAGAACTGTAGAAGACACCAAAAGAAAATATATGTAAGAACTGGAGCAGACACCAAAGAAAAAAAACAGAAGAAGAGGAGTAGACACAAAAATCCCGAAATACTGGAGAAGACACCAAAATAAAAAATAAAAAAATCTACGAACTAGAGCAGACACGAAAAAATATCTAAGAACTGAAGAAGACATCAAAATAAAAGTATCAAACAACTGGAGCAGACACCAAAAATTATCTAAGAACTGTAGTAGACACAAGAAAACAATCGAAGAACTGGAGAAGACACACACAAAAAATCTAAGAAGACACCAAAAAAAAAAAAGAAAAATATCTAAGACCTGGAGAAGACACCAAATAGAAAATCTGAGAACTGGAACAGGCAGAAAAATAAGCCCTAAGAACTGATGTAGACACAAAAAATATAACTGGAGAAGACACCAAAATAAAATAAAATGTAAGAACTGGAGAAGAGACCAAAATTTAAAAAAACACCTAAGAACTGGGCAGATACCAAAAAAAAAAAAAAATTAGAAGTGTAGTAGACACAAAAAAACAATCGAAGAACTGGAGAAGACACCAATATAAAATCTAAGTACTGGAGTAGACACCAAAGAAAAAGAAAAACAAACTAGCAACTGGAATAGACACCAAAATAAACCTAAGAACTGGAGTAGACACGAAAAATCTAAGAACTGTGCAGGACACCAAAATAAAAAAAATTAAGAACATGAGCAGATACCAAAATAAATCCAAGTACTGTAGTAGACATAAAAAGAATCTAAGAACTGGAGAAGATACCAAAATAAAAAATAAGAACTGGAGTAGACACCCCCCACCCCACACACAAAAAAAATCTAAGACCTGGAGAAGACATCAAAATGAAAATCCGAGAACTGGAACGGGCATGGGTTAGGGTTAACGGGCACCAAAATAAGCTTAAAAACTGGAGTAGACACAAAATAATCTAAACACTGGAGAAGACACCAAAATAAAAAAAAAATCTAAGAACAGGAGAAGACACCAAAAAAATTCTAAGAAATAGAATAGACACAAAATAATGTAAGAACTGTAAAATACACCAAAATAAAAAAAAAAATAAGAACCGGATCAGAAACCAAAAAAATCTAAGAAGAGGAGTAGATACAAAAAAAAATCGATGAACAGAAGACACCAAGATATAAAAAAGTGAAAATCTCAGAACTTGAGCAGATACTAAAAAAAAAATTAAGAACTAATGTAGACACCAAAATCAAATCTAAGAACTGGAGTAGGCACCAAAAAAAAAAAAAATCTATGAACTGGAACACACACTAAAATAAGCATAAGAACAGGGGTAGACACAAAAAATCTAAGAAATGGAACAAATAGCAAAATAAAAGGGGAAAATAATCTGAGAATTGGAGCAGACACCATAAAAAAACCTAAGAACTGGAGTAGACACCAAAAAATGAAAAAGAAAATCTACGAAATAGAGAAGACACCAAAAAGAAAATCTAAGAACTGGAAAAGACACCAAAAATACGAACGAAAAAAAATCTAAGAACTGGACGAGGCACAAAAAATATATAAGAACTGGTGTATACACCGAAATGCAAAAATTATTCTAAGAACTGGACCTGACACAAAAAAAGAAAAAAAAATCTATGAACTGGAATAGAAACCAAAATAAAATCTAAGAACTGGAGTAGGCAGCAAGAAAAATCAAAGAACTGGAGTAGACACCAAGAAACCCACCAAAGAACTGGAGTGGACACCAAAATCAATCTAAGAACTGAGTAGACAAAAAATCCAAGAACTGGAGGATACACCAAAAGTGGAAAAAAATCGAAGAACTGTAGTAGGCACCCAAAGAGTCGAAGAACTGGAATTGAGACAAAAACGGAAAAAAAAACCTATGAAGTGAAATAGACACCAAAAAATTCTTTGAACTGGATTATACACCAAAAACGAAAAAAATAAATCGAAGAACATGTGCAGACAGCAAAAAAAAAAAAAAATTTCTAAGAATTGTAGTTGACAGTACAAAAGGAGAAAAAAATCTAAGAACAGGAGTAGACACCAAAGATTCTTAGAACTGGATTATACACAAAAAAAAATCTAAGAACTGGAGCAGACACAAAAAACAAGGAAAAAAACCAAGAACTGGAAGAGGCACAGAATAATCTAAGAACTGGAGTAGACACAAAAAATGGAAAAAAAATTATGAACTGGAATAGACACCAAAAAAAAATCAAAGAATTAGTGTAGACACCAAGAAAGGAAAAAAAAATCAAAGAATTGCAGTAAGCACAAAAAAATTCTAAGAACTGCAGTATACTTCAAAAATGGAAAAAAAATTTCTAAGAACCGGAGTTGATACCAAGAAATCTGAGAACGGGGGCTGACACCAAAAAAGGAAAAAAATCTAAGAACTGTAGTAGACAGCAAGAAAAATCGAAGAACTGGAGTAGACAACAAAACAAATCATCGCCAAAAATTATCATAGAACTGGACGAAGCAAAAAAATAATCTACAAACTGGATTATACACCAAAAGTAGAAAAATAAATCGAACTACCCGTAGTAGACACACAAAAAAATCGTAGAACTGGAGTTGACACTAAAAAAGGGGAAAAAAATCTATGAACCGTTATGTGCTTTTTTATTGATATAGCAATCCCTGAAGATTGAAATATATCTTTGAAGATCTTCAAAAAAGAAAAAAACATTCAAAAGACAATGTTCTTGAAGTGGTAATCTCAAAAATATGGCACATGAGGACATCACTACTTCCAGTTGTCATCGGAACCCTCGTATTGGTTGGAAATTGTTCCGATAATAGACGTATTGAAGAGATTCCTTGTATCCAGTGCCTTAAAGAAATATAAAAAAAAATTGTACTTCGACGTACACCGCATACATTACGGAGAGCTTTATCTATGTAAAATGTTTGTGATCTTAGTTTTTTTTTTTTAGTTTTTTACAAAAATGATTAGTGGTAAATGTCATGATGCCATTTCTAGCCTTAGATCTCGGTTTTTGGATCCGGAAAGAAATATGTAGACAACATAAATCCAAATAAATAATAATAATATTAATAATAATAACAATAAGGACGCCAAAACGAGAAATCTTCTCACTTACTATCGCATGCATCATCCCAAAGCTGATGTTGATCGTCTGTATGTGCCCAGATCCGAAGGAGGCAGAGGATTAGTTCAACTAGAACTGTCCTACAAAACTACAACAATTGGCCTCCAAAGATATTTGGAAACTACAGAAGACTGGATGATGGTATACGTCAAGGAATATGAAAGTAGTAAGCGTCTTTACTCCGAAATGAAAGAAGCCAACAAATTCAAAATGGAGTTTCAAATGGGCGTAGAGATGCAACTACAGCAAAAAACACAGGCTGAAACTATAAAATATTTTTAAAAAAGACAGCAAAGACGAATGCAACCGACCAGATACAGAAGCGATAGCAAAATAAACGCTTTATGGCCAATAATTTGCCCGTACCAAACAAGCTGACGTAGACAAAACCCGTACCTATCAGTGGCTACGTCGTGCAGGGTTGAAAGAGGAAACTGAAGGTTTTATCCTTGCTGCACAGGACTAATGCTTGCTAACTAGGAATTATCAAGCACATATACTAAAATATTGTGTTAGCCCAAAATGCAGATTCTGTGATAAATATCCAGAAACGATTGATCATCTTGTATCAGGTTGCACGATATTGGCACCCACTGAATATAAAACCCGGCATGACAGAGTGGGCCAATATCTGCACTGGAAAATCTGCAACTTCTACGGGAAGGAAACTGAAAGAAACTGGTATGAACACCACCCAGACCCGGTTACGGAGATAGGACCTGTTACAATTCTATGGGACTACACAATACACACTGACAGAACAATCAAGACCAATCGACCAGATATTGTTATTAAAGACCACAAACAAAAACGGTGCCTCCTTATTGACATGGCAGTCCCTGCTGATTGCAATGTATCTTTGAAGATATTCAAAAAACTGTCAAAATACAAGGACCTTGAAATAGAAATCTCAAAAATGTGGCATATGGGAACATCAACAATCCCTGTTGTAGTTGGAGCCCTAGGACTGGTTGGAAAAGATTGCAGTAGACTAATTGAAGGGATTCCTGGAAGTCCATGCCTCAAAGAGATACAAAAAAAATGTTCTGACAAGTACAGCCCACACTTTACGAAGGGCTTTATCTATGTAATTTTTTTTTTCTTTATCGGTGGAAAGTGTCATGATGCCATTTCTAACCTTAGGTACCTGGGCGGGACCCGGAAAGAAATGTGTAAACGCCAGAAATCAAACAAAATAAAAAAAATAATAATAATAACATTTAGAGAAGAGAGAAAGTTAAAAATATAAATGAGAGGAACAGGGTTTGAGAATGTTCAACACTAGCGCATGTCTCTTCTTTCAGTTATGTTTAAAAAATTTATAGGTTCACCTGTAGTCCCAGTTTTGTTGTACTGGAGTATAGGTTTATCCCTTATGTCTTGTTTAGGATTGCATTCCCAGGTTCTTCAAATCAGTACCGCTGACGTCTTTGCCTGAAATCTGAAACTTTATTCAGTAATTGTTTTTTTTACTCTGTCTATAGGAATAGATAAGCTAGCTTATCGCCCAGTTTGTACTTCTCTCCGGCCTTTTGTATAGGAATAGTGGTTCTCGCCTTGTTTCCTGCTTTTTGCTCCTAAAATTTACTTCAACTCTTTACTTTCAACATACCTGCCATCACTCTTTCGATATTCCTTGTCCTTTCTTAAGCTCATACAACTATACACAATAAAAGTCTACCTTGAGTAGCTCTCGGATCTAGTACTGGGTGAACATTTGTAAAAAAAAAGGATAAAAATATTAAAAAAAAATATCTTTATATGTGTGTACAAAACCTATCAGGAACGGTTATCTTCTGAGAATTGTGCAAACGTTTGGGATCTGCCTATTGTATCCAATACTGTTCCCGCATCCTCCAACTCTGTGCCTCTGACGTCTTGGCCTGAAATCTGAAATTTTATGCAGTAATTATTATTAGTTTAGATCGGAAATAAAGTCGAAAATGTTTTTGGAAATTCGTGATTCTATCGAAATGTTGAATTGAATGACGTCGAAATTAAACTCAGATCAAATTTTCACAAGCAATAAAAAATGAACAAATATATTTACTTGATTATCTGGCTTTTCTTCTCTCGTTCATCCATTTCTAAATTCCTTTCTTTCATTTATTTTTACAGGATTTCCTTTACTTCACACTCCCTTTTTTCATTCATCTATATTTGTATTCTATTCTCGTTGCTTTCTTTCTTTCTTTTTTCTTTATTCTTTTTCTATTTTTTCTTTCACTTTTTTAAACCCACTTCATTTTCCACTCATCCTTATTTAATTGATCCTTCTTCGCATTGCTTTCATTCTTTCATCCATTTTTAGAGTGTTTTCTTCCACATCTTCTCCTTCCATACTTTTTTCTTTCTTTTATTTTCTTTCTTTCTTATATTTCTTTTTTCTTTCATTTTTTCATACCCGCTTCATTTTCTACTCACATTTCATTCATTGACTATCTTTGCATTTCGTTCTTTCTTTCATTCTTTCATTTCTTTCTTTCATTCTCTTTTACAGGATTTCCTTTATATTTCTTCTCCATTCTTTCTTTCTTTTTTCTTTCTTTCTTTTTTCTTTCTTTCTTTTTTCTTTCTTCTTGATTTTCTTTCTTCTTTCACTTTTTCATATCCGCTTCATTTTCAACTTTTCCTACTTTCATTGATCTATTTTTACATACCTTTCTTTATTTCATTCATTTTTACGTGGTTTCTCTTCTTCCACCTCTTCTTTCTTTCTTTCATTCTTTCTTTCTTTCTTCTGTTTCTTTCTTTCTTTCTTCTGTATCTTTCCCATCCGTCTTTCTTTCTTTCTTTCTTTTGTATCTCTTCCATCCTTCTTTCTTTCTTTCTTTCTTTCTTTCTTTTTAACATCCTTCTTTCTTTCTTTCTTTCTTTCTTTCTTTTGTATCTCTTCCATCCTCCTTTCTTTCTTTCTTTCTTTCTTTTTTTCTTTTTACCATCCTCCTTTCTTTCTTTCTTTTTACCATCCTTCTTTCTTTCTTTCTTTCTTTTTTTTTCTTTCTTTTGTATCTCTTCCATCCTTCTTTCTTTCTTTCTTTCTTTCTTTCTTTCTTTTCTTTTCTGTATTCCCATCCTTCTTTCTTTTTTTTTCTTTCTTTCTTTCTTTCTTTTTTCTTTCTTTTCTTTCTGTATCCTTCTTTCTTTCTTTCTTTCTTTCTTTCTTTCTTTCTTTCTTTTTTCCATCTTCTTCTTTCCATCCTTCTTTCTTTCTTTCTTTCTTTCTTTCTTTCTTTTTACCATCCTTCTTTCTTTCTTTCTTTCTTTCTTTCTTTCTTTCTTTCTTTCTTTCTTCTGTATCTTTCCCATCCTTCTTTCTTTCTTTCGTATCTTTCCCATCCTTCTTTCTTTCTTTCTTTCTTTCTTTCTTTCTTCTGTATCTTTCCCATCCTTCTTTCTTTCTTTCTTTCTTTCTTTCTTTCTTTCTTCTGTATTTTTCCCATCCTTCTTTCTTTCTTTTTCTTTCTTTCTTTTTACCATCCTTCTTTCTTTCTTTCTGTTTCTTTCCATCCTTTTTACCATCCTTCTTTCTTTCTTTCTTTTTTTTCTTTTTTTCTTTCTTTCTTTCTTTCTTTTTTTTTCTTTCTTTCTTTCTTTCTTTTTACCATGTATCTTTCCCATCCTTCTTTCTTTCTTTCTTTCTTTCTTTTCTTTCTTTTCTTTCTTTCTTTCTTTCTTCTGTATCTTTCCCATCCTTCTTTCTTTCTTTCTTTCTTTTTACCATCCTTCTTTCTTTCTTTCTTTCTTTCTTTCTTTCTTTCTTTCTTTCTTTCTTTCTTTCTTCTGTATCTTTCCCATCCTTCTTTCTTTCTTTCTTTCTTTCTTTCTTTCTTTTCTTTCTTTCTTTCTTTCTTTCTTTCTTCTGTATCTGTCCCATCCTTCTTTTTCTTTCTTTCTTTCTTTTCTTTCTTTCTTTCTTTCTTTCTTTCTTTCGTTTACCCACCCTTTTTGGTCTTTATTTTTCATTTTTTTTCATTTATTATCAAATGAGTTCTTTTCTTCTACCTCTTCCCTCCTCGTTCTTTTGTTTTCTTTTTCTTTTTTCATTCTCTCTTTATTTCTTCACTTCTTTTTTTTTCTTCCCTCTTAATTTTGCTCACGTTTTTCTTATTCCTCTTCTTACATTCTTTCACTCATTTCTTTCATTCTTCTTTTATTTTCTACCCTTATTTTCCCAGGAAAATTTCCTTCACGCAAAATGCTTTCTTTTTTTTTTTTACCTTAATTTTATTCTCGTATATTTTTTTCTAATTTTCTCTTTCTTTAAACACTTTTTAACTTTTGAACCCAGACATGATTGGTATGGAACAGTTTTCTTCTTTTTTCTTTTCACCTTCTTTAAAAAATAAAATTTGTTATCTCGATTATTATTATTATTATTATTATTATTATTATTGTTTTATTTCTTTTGCCTTCTGGTGTATACACATTACTTTTCGGGTCCCTGACAGAGACCTACGGTCAGAAATGGCATCCTGGTATTTTACACTGAACACTTTTGAAACAAATCGCACATATTTAACATTCGTAAGGTGTGGGCTATAATTGTGAGTACATTTTTTTGTATATTTCTTTAAGGCATGGGATACCTTCATTGGGTTTATTGGACTCTTTTCCCATCGATCCGACGGCTCCATCTATAACTGGAAGTGTTAATTTCCTCATGTGCAACATTTTTTAAATTTCCATTACAAGGTCCTTGTATTTTGATATGTCAATAAAAAAGTCCATTACGTTCTTGAGTCTTTGATCACGATGTCTGGACGATTAGCATTGATTGTTCTTTCTGTGTATATTGTAAAATCCCATAAAAGTGTTACAGGTTTTATCTTTTTAACCTGGTCCGGGTGATGTTCATACCAGTTTATTGCAGTTTCCTTCCCGTAAAAGCTGCACATTTTCCAGTGCAGATATTGGCACACTCTATCATACCGTATTCTATATTTAGCGGATGCCAATGCCACGCAACTTGATACAAGATAGTCAGTTGTTTCTGGATATTTATTGACCATATTATTATTATTATTATTATTTTTTATTTTCTTTGATTTCTGGCGTTTACACATTTCTTTCCGGGTCCCGCCCAGGGACCTAAGGTTAGAAATGGCGTCATGACACTTTCCACTGCCAAAAAAAAAAAAAAAAAAATTACATAGATAAAGCCCTTCGTAAGGTGTGGGCTGTACTTGTCAGAACAACTTTTTGTATCCCCTTGAGGCATGGAGTTCCAGGAATCCTTTCAATTAGTCTACTGCAATCTTTTCCAACCAGTCCTAGGGCTCCAACTACAACAGGGATTGTTGATGTTTCCATATGCCACATTTTCGAGATTTCTATTTCAAGGTCCTTGTATTTTGACAGCTTTTTGAATATCTTCAAAGATACATTGCAGTCAGCAGGGACTGCCATGTCAATAAGGAGGCACCGTTTTTGTTTGTGGTCTTTAATAACAATATCTGGTCGATTGGTCTTGATTGTTCTGTCAGAGTGTATTGTGTAGTCCCATAGATTTGTAACAGGTCCTATCTCCGTAACCGGGTCTGGGTGGTGTTCATACCAGTTTCTTTCAGTTTCCTTCCCGTAGAAGTTGCAGATTTTCCAGTGCAGATATTGGCCCACTCTGTCATGTCGGGTTTTATATTCATTGGGTGCCAACACCGTGCAACCTGATACAAGATGATCAATCGTTTCTGGATATTTATCACAGAATCTGCATTTTGGGCTGACACAATATTTTAGTATATGTGCTTGATAATTCCTAGTTAGTAAGCATTGGTCCTGCGCAGCAAGGATAAAACCTTCAGTTTCCGCTTTCAACCCTGCACTACGTAGCCACTGATGGGTATTATTATTATTATTATTATTGTTATTATTATTATTATTATATTTCCTTTGGTTTCTGGTGTATACTCATTTCTTTCCGAGTCCCGACCCAAGTCCTAAGGTCAGAAATTGCATCATGATATTTTACACTGAGCAATTTCGTAAGGTGTGGGCTGTATTTGTGAGTACACTTTATTCGTATTATTATCAAACCTCCGCTATCACGAATCTCTTCAGTTAGTCTATCGGAATATTTTCTAATCAATCCGAGGACTACAACTGCAGCTGTTGATATCCTCATGTACGACAAACTTAACTTAATATTATTATTGATATTATTATTATTATTATTATTATTATTATTATTTCTTTGGATTTATGTTGTCTACACATTTCCTTCTGGATCCAAAAACCGAGATCAAAAGCCAGAAATGACATTTACCACTAATCATTTTTGTAAAAAAACTAAAAAAAAAAAAACTAAGATCACAAACATTCTACATAGATAAATCTCTCCATAATGTGTGCGGTGTACGTCGAAGTACAATTATTTTATATTTCTTTAAGGCATTGGATACAAGGAATCTCTTCAATACGTCTATTATCGAAACATTTTCCAACCAATGCGAGGGTTCCGATGACAACTGGAAGTAGTGATGTCCTTATGTGCCATATTTTTTAGATTACCACTTCAAGAACATTGTCTTTTAAATGTTTTTTTTTTTTTTTTGAAGATCTTCAAAGATACATTTAAAATTCCTTCCGGGTCCCAACCAGAGACCTAAGGTCAGAAATGACATAGCGACATTTTCCACTGGACATTTTTTTTTAACCTAAGACCACACATATTTTACATGGATAAAGCCCTTCGTAAAGTGTGGGCTGTACTCGTGAGAATTTATTTTTTATTTCATTAAGCCGTAGGCTACCAGGAATCTTTCAAATGAGTCTATCAGAACGTTTCTGATCATACTGAGGACGCCAAACACAACGGGAATTATTGATGTCTTCATCTGCCACATTTTGGAGATTACCACCTCAAGATAGTTGTATTTTGATAGATGTTTCTTTTTGAAGATCATCAACGTTGTATTACAGTCTACAGAAACTGTTACGTCAATAACAAAGCACTTTCAGTTTTTGTGGACTTCCAATATTATATCTGAATTATTAGCTTGATTATTCTCTCAGTTCATGTCTGTTCAATATTTCCATTATTCCGACTATTGTCCTCATCTTTTTTTGCCAAATTTATCACAACGTTTCTGCCGTTGTACGCTCCGGCCTTCTTCAGGTGGTTGGAATGTCGAACTGAACCCTTTATTTCGCTCACTGTTCTAGTTCGATGTGCCATGTCTAATGGATATCATCTATCAGTTATCTCCTGTTAATTCTCCTTTCCAAGTTTTCCATCTCCTTAACCAGCTATTGAACTCACCCCTGTGCCATGTGTCCTTGAACAGTCTACCCCAGTGAACGAAATAAAGGGTTCAGTTCGACATTCCAACCACCTGAAAAAGGCCGTAGCGTACGGCGGCCGAAACGTTCTAATAAATATGGTAACAAAAATGCAGACAGTAGTTTTAATAATGTAAATAGTGTACATAATACCTTATCTCAGAAATATAGACAGATACTGAAGGGCCGAAATGTTATAATAAATATGGCTACAAAGATGAGGACAATAGTCCGAATGATGTAAATAGTGTACATAATACCTCATCTCAGAAATATAGACAGATACTTAAGGGACGAAACGTTGTAATAAATATGCCGACAAAGAAACAATAGTCGTTAATGTAAATAAATAATACCTCATCTCAAAGATAGACAGATACTTAAGGACAAACTTTGTAATAAATATGCCGAAAAATGAGGGACAATAGTAAATAGTACATAATACCTCATCTCAGAAATATAGACAGATACTTAAGGGACGAAACATTGTAATAAATATGGCGACAAAGATGAGGGACAACAGTCCGAATAATGTAAATAGTGTACCTTATCTCATAAATATAGACAGATACTGAAGGCTCAGAAAATATAGCGACAAAGATACTGAAGGGCCGAATAATGTTAATAATAAATATGGCTATCTCAGATATAGACCAGATACTGAAGGGCCGAAATGTTATAATAAATATGGCTACAAAGATGAGGACAATAGTCCGAATGATGTAAATTGTGTACGTAATACCTCATCTCAGAAATATAGACAGTTCCTGTCTGTTCTTGATACTATTAGTAATATGCGTATATTCTTATGGTTATTGTTTTATATTTCACTCTAAGTCTGCTGATTGCCGTTTGTGATTAAGTGAGTGATAAATTCGTTTTAATATCCGGCGCCATAAGTGTTATCCTCAATATCAACATAGTCAGAACAGTCGCAGTTGTTAGTTTTAGTAAGAATTTGTAATTATCTACATTTCATTCATTTTCGTCCTTTTCCAAAGGGTCCACATATTTCGCCCAAATACGCTTGGGAAAGCTATGAATCCATCACTTTCTCCTCACCTATGGATTAAATAAGAAGACATATTCATTGGCAACCAGGCTCATGGAAGGACAACTGTTCATCCCAAGCCATATGTATCCCTCGCTTAAAATGTAACCATTTAAAAGATAATGGGGTAGACAATTATACGAGGGGCGTGGCTGTGGACTGAGTGTCACTGAGTCCACACCCAATTAGACGAACATTTCTAACCTTCCTATTGTATATTTTCGCAACTCTGGAAAGGTCTAGAACTTCTCGAAATTTGGTTTTCTTTTTTCGATATGTTAATACATTATAATCTATTTCTCGGCATCCGTAAAGTTTGCGTCACGTACCCAAAAAGAAATATAAATATTAAATAAACCTTCACCTACATCAAAAGTTCAAAGGGGTAAAGGAGTAATAAGAAATAAATAAGTGAACATTAATAGCAATTATTATTATTATTATTATTTTATTATTATTATTAATGATGTCTGATACGACACTTCTGCATCAACATAACTTCCAAAACATTTTATCACGAATGACTGCAACTTCAATGAACACATTCAAGTACACATTCTGTAAAAAGAAAATTCCACCCACATTTCAACCCCTCCACTAAGTTACGCATGACACATGCAAATTACTACAGAGAGATGAAGGAAATGAAAAAAAATGGCGAGTTCCATAAGTCTTAAACTAAACAGTTTGATTATTTGCTCGCATGAACTAATAAACTGACGGTGAGGATGCACCCCATCATGTTACTCGCGTTTCAG